GACTCGAGTTTGAAAGTTTTTACTATTACAAAAGAATTCAAGATTGAAAAATTCTATTGAAAAAGAATTCGAGATTTAAGTCGAGGCGGAAAGATCTAAGGATTCTACAAATTTTATCAATTGATTGTTGTAAGTTTGGATCAAATCGAAAGAAGTTTAAGAATTTTTAAAATTCAATGAGAAAATTCTAATTAATCCTAATAAATCCTAATTTATAATTAAAAATTCGTTAATGCGCCGCGTACCTTAATGTCATATTCTTTGAATGATTCGGCGGCATCAAAGGATCTCAATGGCATGGGAAGTGCATAAGTTAATGGCAACGTCTTCATATTCATCTTTATGCCGTGACTCGCCGATTCCATTTTCTGCATCTTCAGCTTCGTTATTGTGGGAATGCCACGGCACGTTGATTCAAAGATCATCGACTGAGGATATATGGTGATGAATGAGCCAGGCTATTCTTTTCATACAAGAAGACGATTAATGTGGCTTCTTGTAATCGTAAGCCAAAAGCAAGGATTAGAAATACTTACTATCGATCTTTATAATATTTAATCTATTAAATGGCAATAAAATTACGCGAATTGTAAACATTGAATACTGGTAATTCTAAAACCGTCGTCTAATCACAATCTTTAAATAAGAATAATTACAATAACTTGGGAAAATTGTTCTCTTTCAATTCTACTTCTTTTCTATTTTTTTCATTTTTTTTTTAATTCTACAATTTTTATTATCATTCTCTTATTCTCACCTATTTTCAACTTTTCATTTTCTTATTTAACAATTGCATCTTTCTCCTTTCCACTTCAAATCAAACCAATTCCTGAAAATTACAATTCTTACATCATTATTTTCTTATTTTTCTGAGTATTTATTTTTATCCATATTTTTATGTGTCTATTCGCAATGAGGCAAATCATCCTCTCCTCCAATGTCAATCCAATCCTTAAAAAAAGATCATTCTATAAAGTCATCTCTTCTTTCCTCTTAATTTCCAGAGAATCCAAACTGTGAACAGTGTACCGATAGCCAAGGATCGTTAAACACGGAATCGGTTGACGAACTACCATGGCCCGTATGTTTCACGTTCCAGGGAAATTGATACCGTGCGTCTGAAGGCGGACAGATAAGATCGAGGTGGCCGCGAGCGAGACGCTAAACTAATGCCTTGTGCACAGTGGCGCGCAAGATAGATATCTTGAGAATTTCATTAGCATGATCCGAGAGAAGAGAAGGCTGGCTCGCGCCGCCACCTCGTCCCTCCCTTTTTAACTTGTCACCCGAGGCTACCACCTCGCGTGTACCTTCGTGCCACTTCGAACCAGCCTTTCTGTCACTTAAACCGGACCCTTCTTCAGCTTCCATCTCCTCAGACTTATTTCTTTCTCTGGACACTTGATTAACATCAAAGGTGCTCATAGGTTCCTAATTACTTCGCAAAACTAGCTTTTGTCTTTCCTATTCTTCCTTTTTCAAAATCTTGCTATTGTGATTATTGAAATCAAAATTAACGAAGGCAACTCAATTTTCTGTTGATTTTCGCAAGTTCTTCGTCGAAGATTTATGGGATGCACGAATTTTATGTTGCTATTATACCATTTGATTCATCTTCCAATACTATATTTTATTCTCATATTTTACAGTTCAAGTTTCTTCATACATGCATTGTCATTTGTGTAATTCTGGACTATGAATATTTGTACAAATTAAAATTTATACGAGGTATAAGTAAAAAAAGGAATCTTAGATAAAGATTTTTTCGTATTTATCATCAAGTATCGTAAATTATGTATTTTACCTTGGATGTTTTACATCTTTTTACATATCACATTTTATACATTTTTGACTATTTTTCATAAATATACCTATATAAAAATCCACAGCGTTTCATAATCCCTATCATAAGTATTTCTTCACCATCAAATGCTCACGTCTTCGAAAGATAAAACTTTTCAATCTCTTTCTTCTACAGCAAGAAATATATCTCTTGATTCCATCTCTTCCTGTAAGGTCAAAGATCTCTATCACTATTACTCACGAAACAACAGACTTTTCTCAACAACTTCTCTTTAAACGAGCATTTTTTAATAAGACCGGTCCAAGTTTCGATCGACTACGTCCGATGACCGGAAGAATCATCGCGCCACATAAAACACAAAAGGGTACACGTATAAATTATAACCGCATGAGAATAGCTACTTAACCGGTCCATTCAGCCGATGTAAAATCGAAAGCCGACCGGGTGAAACGTCTTCATTTTTCATGGCCACGAGTCCACGGTGGGGTTGCAACATTGCGTTTTTACCCCAGGGCTAACTCGCTTCATAACTCCCTTCCCTCCCTCTCGCAAAAGAGAGAATATAAAATTCACGACGTATTCGATCAGCCGTGAACAAATTACTATATAATTTTCCCGCCGGCGCGATTACTCACGTTAATGGTGCAATAATTCATAGGAACGCGTTTGCAGCCCGGGTCCACCATGAGCATGGAATGTCTTCGAAAGATCGGTCCACACGCAGGAGAAGATGAAACGCTGTTGAAAGATTGCATGGATAGTCGCGAGAGTCGATTCGTTTTAATGGAAAACACGCTCGTGCAAAAGAGAAGATAAGGTGGAAGGATCCTAGAAAAAAAAAAAAAGAATCCTTTTCTTAATGGAAAATACGCGTGTATTGTTTTTGCAGAAGAATCGTTATAATAGAATTATATTGGTTTGAGAGTAAGCATATCGTTTGTAGAGATGGTTATAATAAAGATAATATTGATCTGTAACATTTAAAAATATTTCTTAGCTTTTTAGAAAATATAGTATAAAGTATTTTATTTATAAAGTAATCATTTAAAGAAAAATTCTAATTGAAATTTAAAAATATAATGTGTCTATTGTATTAATTTTTAATTTTAAATTCTCTTAATTTATTCTAACATAGATAAGAAAAAATTGTATTTCTAGAATTATACTTTTTCATTTTCAAAAAAATGAAAAAATATATTAAGTACAGAATGATGATGATACCATTGATATAAGCGTATGCTTTAATGCTAGTTCAAAAATTTTTGTCTTACCTGTGATTAACATGTTGTTGACATGAAAAAATTATTTTTTCTCGCACAAAAAACTACAAAATATCTTCATAGTAAATTATAATTTGCGGAAAGAAGAAAATTGCATAATTTTCTAGAGAGCTCACTTTAATTCTCAATCATGAAAAGTACCTACATCTAACCACCATAACCACAAAATTCTCCGCACAGATTTCACGTCCATCATGAAGATACGAATTTCTTTACTTCCGGGTCTTATTGTTTCACTACGAAAATGAACAATTTCCAAAAGAAGAGACAGCGACGTAGAAATTTTACGAGACAATCTGTTGGTCGTTCGTAAATATCACGGTGGCCATGTCTACTATTTATATGAGGCGACAGCAGTAAATTTCTGCAGCGCGGTAAAACATGCCGAGAACGCGCATGCGTCGACGAATAATTCATTTCACGCAGGACCCGCGGGCTAATTGAACGCCTATGAGACGAATTAATAATCCACTTTGTAGAAAGAGCTAAGATTTACATCGATTCAACAAAATGATTACACTCAAGGAAATGCAATATACTATATTCTGTCCTTAGTAAACGAACAGCATCTTTTTGTAAATGTCTAGATTTTGTTTTTATCGTTATTAATGTGTTTATCGTTTAATAAATTAACGAAAGATGCGGGTGAGAACATAAAATAATCCTTATATGAGCATGGTTAAATATATGATGCAAAAGTCCTAGATTATATCTGTTTTGTTATATTTGTTTTCTTTTTTTTAATTTAAATTCTAAAGAAAAAGATCTCAATTTTATCATGAAATTAAAATTAAAAAATTTCGATATTATATATAAAAAAAGATGTATCTAATATATATAAGAATTTTAAATCTAATTTTTATATAATTATGTAAATTATAATTAAAATTGTCATGTAAAATATTTAAATGTCGTTCTGCTAAGATTTTTTGAATAAGAAATATTAAAAATAATTAATTTCATTTGCAATCAAGTTTTACAATAAATTTTATTAAATTTAGTTTTTTGATTGTTGTATTATTATAGATGTTTCAATACTTTAATGTTTTATAAATTTTTAAAAATTTTTAGTAGATATTTTCTATAACATAAAAGATTCAAATAAATTAATTGTAATTTTATATTAATATGAAAGATTATATCTTGTTTAATCTCTTGTTTAATTATAAATACTTGATATTCTTTTTATAAATCACGCAATAAGTGTACTCGTAATATTTATAAATTTTTTTTATCAAACAAATAAGAGATTTCAATCGTAGATACACACATTTCCAATTGCTGCAATCAAGTCGACGATTCACTTACCCATTCCATCCAAAATTACTTTAACAACGGCTCTAACGAGACTCCTATTTCAATTTCTAAATCATCTACGTACACAACTTGCTTCTAAGACGTCCTTTGATTATTCACGAACCTCAGGCAGCCATTCTATTTATCTGTTGTAAAGAGAAGTGCACTTCTGTAATGCAAACTAGTCTCCTGAATAGTGCTCATTTCCCGTGCAAGCACTTCAATTTACATTCACGTAGAAGTGATGCTTGTTTCTTGCTATTTATTCAAAATCCTCATTTAACTTATTAAAAAAAAATAATAATAAAAATAAAAATATTAATTCTTCGTTAGGAATAATTTTTTTTTACTATCAGCAATTTAAATTATTCAAATTCATTAAAGAGAATTTTCTGATGTTTTAAGCTTTTAAAAAAATCTATAAAAATACTATATTCTAATAATTTCCATTCATAAAACATTTACACTATCTTTTTAAAATACTTCAATACTTCATTTCCTGGAAGAATTTTGAAAGAATAACAAGATCTATGATTTGAAAAATTTGAAAAATCCAATTTGATTTGACGAAAAGTTAAAAATTTGAAAAAAAAAATTGAAATTCGTTTTTTTGATTATAGGAACATGGGTGTTCGGTGCAGACGGTGGACCTGGTGGCGGACTGTCCTTTGCAGGTAGTGACACCTTCGTCGAGGTCGCCGTCACCGCCCAGATCGCCGACGCCCGCGACGCCCTCGACGCCCCTCGCACCCCCGAGGAGCATGGGTCAACGACCAAGCACCCTGTTGCGTCCCAAAATCTCTTTGACCTGGGTCCTTCGCGGACAACAGCAACCTGCATCCAGCAACAGTCATTCGGCCACCAATGGGAACGCAGGTCTGTAAAAAAAAAAATATCTGAAGTATTAGAAAAATATAAATAATATTGTGAGGAATTTAAATTGCATAAGTATATAAGTTAATAAAAGGAAATAACATGAATTCCATTCAAAAAGTTATTCATGAAAATTCTTAAGAAACGTATACAATGCATAAATTGGCTGTAATTTTGCCATTTTAAGAAAGCTTAAGAAACTAGTCAAGAAACAATGTTATCTTTGTAAAGGTGGGAACGGCGATCGAGAGGGCTTGTCACGAGATGGTAAAGAAAGATCCTCGAAGAGGAGTGTGAAAAGTGTGAAGGAAAAAGACAGCGGTAAGGAGAATGTCGAAACGGAAAAACGAGAGAAGAAAGTTCTGCACAGAATAGAGAAGATCGAAAGGACGGAGAAGATAGAAGTTCAGGAAAAGGTTTATATATAATTTATATATTTTATATGTATTGTTATATATATTTTTAATTTTAATCTTTTAGTTCTCAAAAAGTAATGCAATACGTACTAATATTTATATACTCTTTTCAGTCAATTAGCAAAGAAGTACTGGTCAATGAAAGATCACTGGACAGTCCTCTGGAGAAACAGACCGAAAAAGAATTTTCAGGGCTAAAGGAGGCGAAGGAGAAAGAGAAAGTTAAGAGGGCAGTGTCCGAGCCGTCTCTCGTGTCACGTGAGTCAACGTCCACGCCTAGTGGTCGGGAGAAGCACAGACATCGAAGAACCAAACGATCTCACAAACCCAGACCGCCAAGTAGATTTGGTTATGAAATTGCAGATCTTGATGCATACCTTACCAAAGTATTTTTTCATTCATCAACCTACAATTTACAATTCAATATGACAAAAACAATATTGCTTACAAAATATTTATTATTTTCAGGCCTCAATAGAAAAACCTGCAAACATTCCTGTTGTTCTTTCGTTTCCATCTGTCCTGTATCAAACCCAAGGTGGTACTCAAGACGAGATGGCTCTCCCTCTTGGTACAGTTGTGAATGCTGTATTTAAGAATCAAACTTGGTTATACGTTCAAACTCCACATGGTCAAGAAGGGTACGTCGGGTATGCAGCTTGCTTACCATTAGGAATATTACCACAACCAACAAGAGGACCATGTTGGGAAGACTCTACAGACGTATTTCCTCGTCCCTTAGGTAATAATTAATTTCCAATAGTTTTCATTTAATTTCCATCAGTTTTCTAATTTATGTTTTATTAATGTTCGAATCCCTTTTTCAGGAAACATGACCGATACCGAAAAATTAAGGGATACTAGGTCAGAATGTGGTGCTCGAGGTAGAAATCCAAGAGTAAGACGTAGTTCTAGAGATGCAGTATCAGCCTGCGGGGAACGTAGTGTTGACAGATTGTATCTCAGAGCCGCAGCGAACGCTAGAACCAAAGGATCTCGACATACTTTACTCGTTATACGTAGCGATTATGAGGGTCAAGGTGGAAATGCTCTTAGCGTTTCCAAAGGCGATGTCGTTGCGCTACTTAGCGATCATGTTAGTGATTGGTTCTGGGTTCGTTCACGGGATGGTAGAGAGGGCTTTATACCTGCGGTGATTGCAGGCCATGGCTTTCTGTGACTGTTATATTACTATAATTTGTTTGAAATTATTTGATCCTTTAAAACTATAAAAAAATAAATCATCACTGTATTGTTTACTATTCTATTATTTATGATTTCACTTTTTATTTCGTTTAAGCTAAAAAAAAGAAATTTAGTTTTAAGTAACCAATTAATTTCAAACAAATATTAATTGTATTTTATCACATCTCATAAATGTTCTATTAGGCGAATATACTACAAACAAAGAACGACTATATTACAAAAACATCATAACTAACAAACAAATACTTGTATATTTGTAAAAAGTTTTATATCATATTTTATAAAATGCATATTGTATTAATATATTTATTAAAAAATATATTTGTCTTTAATGAGATCACTTTGTTTTGTAAATCAATCATATCACCATTTTAATATTTCATTTTTATTATGCAAATTTTAATATTAATTCACGATAATTAAAGTTCGTACAAATATCAAGATTATTTGATGAACCAACTATACTAAATACTTTTTGCGGTGTTTCTTGATAAATAATACTGTATACAGTGTTACTAGAAGTTGGCACTTTAGCCAACATTTCTCCTTGATAAGTAAGATGATAAACGTGAGGCGCTGATCCAGCAGCTATTACACGCTCTTCGTAAATGTTTGCTACATGGATACCTTCATCTGAAAGATCGAATACAGTGGCTGCTTCCATTGTGCGCATATGCCATAGAGATAAATTTGGACCACCTCCACATAACTAAACAATCGGTATATATCATTTTTTCTTAATCCTTATAAATTATTAAAATTATTTATCTATTCTATAAAAAAAAAATAATAAAAAATAAATACCAGCCAATCATCTGTAAAATCTATGGCACCAATCCATTTACCTAATCTTGGTCTTGCAACTTTGTCTACTAAATGAGGAGTTAATATATTAGTATTTTCTTTTTTCCGTAAATCCCATAATCTCACTGTTCCATCTTCACTGCATGAAGCTAATTGATTACCCCTAGAAAAATAAAATATTTTATATAAATATAAATTTTATATATATTATATATTATATTATACATTATATTATATTTTATATATAATATATAAAAATTATGTTATATATTATATATTAATAATTATATAGTACATACATTAAAGATAGACAATGAATGTAATCTGTATGTCCTTCTAAGCTTCTTAATATTCTACCATCTTCTAAACTAATTATATAAATATTGTTATCACCACAACCAGCGTATAGAAGATTATTTAATTTAGAATATACTAAATAATTTACATCTGGTTTTTCATAGCTATCCCTACAAATAAATAATAATATCATTAAATACTATAATTATTAAATAATTTATTTCATATTTTATTAGATAATCTCACTTATTAACTGGAAGTTGTATAGACCACGAAACTTTATTCTTTGGATTTTTACTTGAAGTAATTATTTTCCAATCCCATCCACATATTTCTCCTGATGTTCCTGTTACTAAAAAATTATCTGTTGAAATCATACTTTCTACTTGTTGATTAGAATGAGCAGTGAAATGATAATTAGGTCCTTGTAATTCATTTTCTTCAACTTTATGTGGTCCTAAAGCTTTTGATAACCTAGAAACAAATTATTTTAATTAAAAAAAATATATTGTATTTTAATTTTAATATTGTCTAATAATTGTCTGTGTTTAAAATATTAAGAGAAATGTTCATATTAATATAAAAAATATTGTTTATTTGTTCTTTTCAGTATCAATATAACTCATGATAAAACATTATTAATTATTTAGATATTTACTTACTCAAAAACTGAAATGTCTCCATAAATATTTCCAGCCAATAAATAATTTCCATCTGGAGAAAATGTTTGTGACAGTATAGTATTATAAAATAACTTTTGATTAATCGTATCTGTCATCACTTCTCGATTAACTTTCACAATATTCGAAAAGAATTGAGGTTAGAAATTAGCATCATGAAAGTAAATGAAATTAATATAGACAAGGAGAAATAATAATGGAGAAAGATAGAAATAAACTAAAAATTGATTATCAACGCCATCTTTTAAGTATAAAAGATATTCTTTAAAGATAAGATAAATAAGAATTGAGAATTAGTGCCATCTCTTGAGCATTTTTAAAAAATATTTTTAAAGAAATATTTTTGACATTCAAAAGATGGCGCTAACAATTAATTCTTATTCTATTTTATCTTTTTCTTGCTATTTCAATTTTTTTGTCTATATTAGTTTCATTTGCGGCATTCTAAAGATGGCGTTAATTTTTATATTTTTACTTTATTTTTATCTTTTTTTTATTTCTTCTCCTTGTCTATATTTGCTTTCTGCAAATTTTGAAATACATAGAGATAGTTGTGATATCTGATTAACATTTTTTTTCACATAACTTATTAGTCAAAAATAAAATTAATGCAATTCAATTTTTATATATATACATGTATAAGACATTTGTAATAAATATATAATAAAAATGTATAATATATGTAAAATATTTGTCAATTTTTGTATATATATATTACATATATTATATTATATTTAAATTTTAAAACTATATTATATAATATATTATATATTGAAAGTATATTTTTATATATAAATTGTTAATATATTGAGAGAAAATCATGTATGAGAGAAAAACTTTCATTAAGAAGAAATTTTAGAAGCCAAGACAAATACAAAAATTAATATATAAAATTATTAAATATTTTATATTTAATTCACAAAATATTTAATAATAATTAAAACTTTCAAAATTAATAATTAAAAATAATTTTCAAAATTTTTCGCTATAAATGATTTAGTAATTTTTTTATAAAATATATTGCATATTACTAATGCATTAAGAAATAAATGATTATTATACGGTTTAAATTATATTTAGTCTAGATATTTAAGGAAACAAAAAAGAAAAAAAAAATAATCAAACGTGGAAAGATCATTTTATAATATAAATTGTTTTTTATTAAATATCAAGTTTGTTGAAAACTTTATTATTTTATTAAAAAAATTAATTTTATCTATATATTTAGTTTTAGATATAAAGCAATTTAAATATGACTCAAAAATTCAGTAAAAGTCTTCTTCAGTTATTTTTGTTGATGATGTTTGATTTTTTATTTGTTCTTGATTGTTGTACATACTTGCAACTTGTTGTGCAGATGTAGCATCATCACTATTTTTATCATCACGAATACGAACAAATCGTGGAAATCGCAAAGATATACCTTTCTCTGGATCAACAATACCAACAGCTGCTTTATGAACAGGTGACAAAGATAGATCTGCACATTTAATTTCCCAGACTTGGATAGGTTCAAACCAATGATCTGGTTCAAGAGATGAGTCGTAACGATAATATGATTTAGTTTGCGATATTATGTATTCTTTAAAAAACTCAGTATGTTTTTGAAGATCTTCTTCACTGAATCCAGTACCAATCTAAACGGATATATAAAATATTAAAATTATATTTATTTTTATATTAAAATTGATTATTACAATTTAATGATGCTTACTTTACAAATGCTTTGATATTCTTCATTTTCTTGATCATAACAAGCCAAAAGAAATCCTCCATAAGTTCCAGTTCTTTTTCCTTTTCCTATATAACCACCGATAACCACTACGTCCAATGTATCGCTTACACCATCTAAATAATCTTTTTTCAATTTTAACCAATTGCGAGAACGTTTAGCAATCTCATATGTTGCTTCTTCTTCTAAGGTCTTCACCATGAGACCTTCACAATTGCCTATTAAATATAAATATATATACATTTTTCCAAAGAGATAAAAACTAATTTATGATTTATTTTTAAATAGAGAAAAATTAACCTTTTACTGATTCATCTAAGAAATCTTGTACTTGTTCCATAGTCGAAGTATCTAAACTAGTTGCAAATTTCCATTCTCCAATTACTTCTTTGAAATTTTCTTTTAATAATTCACGACGTTTTATGAATGGTTGTTGTACTAATGGTTCTCCATTCAAGTATAGTAGATCAAACATGAATACACATACTTGAACCTTAATATCTGATTCGTTCGCATCCTATAATAAAAAATAATATAAAAAATAAAATAAAAAAATATAATAAAATAAAAAATAAAAATATGCAAAATATTTAAAATAATTGTTTATATATTTTGCACTACCTTGCGTTTTCTTGTACTAAGTACTTGAAAAGGTAGAATTTGTTTTTTATCATTATCCCAAGCTACTGCTTCACAATCAAGGATACAACTTTTAACGTTTTCACCTTGAGTATTTTTAAATCGTCCTATAATATCGGGATACTTGCTAGTATTATTTTCCTGATTCCTACTATAAATGCTTATTTTACCATCCTCAGCAAAATGAATCTGAATAAATAATATTTACAGAAATTAAATATATATATTATTTTTTTATATTTTAAATAATTAAAAAATTACTTGAGCTCTTTCTCCATCATACTTCCACTCGCATGTAAATTTCAAACCGTCGAAACGTGTTAATACTTCTTGCACACCTTTAGTAGGATGAGCTAACATTGGTTTCATAGGTATTCCAGGTGTAATTTTACATTTATTTGGTAACTCTTTAATTCCTTCTTTTAATAAAACAGGAATTATTTTATCATAATTTGGACATTCACTAAAAATAAGTATTATATGATACAAATTGAAAACCGATTTGAATATCTAATATAAAAATATTCTTACCAATATGTTGTTTTAAGGATAAGTGCAGTTTCATCATATTTTTGTTTAAAGCTATCATTTGACATTTTCTTACTCACATCTAAAATTTCAGGCGGAAAAGTTGGCTTTGGTGGTGTCATAGTACACGCTAATGCTAAAGCCTATAAATATTTGACTTTAATTATATAATATTACAATAATATACAATGATATACATATATGTATATATATTTACTTGTAATACAGATTGTTCTGCTAAACCAATTCGAAGTTTACCGGCTAAAGATCGAATCAAATATCTCGCTTCAGTAAAACGACATGCTACAAAAAGTGATTGGATTTTATCCAATTTCTTAGTTAAAGACTGAAAAAGAAATTATAATAATTGAAAATAATAAAAAAATAATCAAAAATATAATGAAAATTTTATGTTAAAATACAATTACAATAAAGATCTAAATTGATTGTAAATGAACATCTTGACTCTTATAAAATTTTTATTAATTTCTATAATTATTAAATTTTAATAATTTTTAATTCTATATTTCCATATTTATCATTAAATTATAATAACAAATATCATACCGCAGAACCAGTCATTTGAGCAATTTCTTTCAACCTAATATATACACTTGATACTGTTAATGGAGCAGGTTGAAACATTGTTCTTTGATTGGAACGACTTCCTTCTGCCACAATGCCCAAATCTCCAACTTCTTGGACATCTGTTTTTATTTGTGCTAAAGTTCTGCCAGTACATTGTGCTATAGCTTTCATCAAATTTGTTTCTGCTACTCCCAATTCAATTCCTAAAATAAAAATAAATATTTTTTTAATAAAATGAGATAATATATTTAAATACATATTACCTTCATAAGCAGGTGCTAATTGATTCAAACATAAATATATACTTGGAAGTAAATCATCTGAACTTAAAACTATAACAGATCGAAAATAATTCGATAATATTTCTATTATTTTTAATCGTGCGCTAGTATCTTCAATTAGTTCCAACGTGCGTGTGAGTGCAATGTATGGTACTCTATAAAAAATTAAAATTTTTTATCAATAGAAAATATACTATATAAAAATGAAAAAACATAAGACATACTTTTCATTATGTTTCCAGAATGCATCATCTATTGGATTATAATTTGAAATACTAGGATTATAAGAGTGATTGGAGGATTTTTTTTTATCATCATCTTTAGCATTTTTTGTTCCTTCTTTTTGTTTTACAGCTAAAATATATTAATTATATTGAAATAATTATATATTTATTTATTTATTAATATAATAATAAATTAAATACCAAAAAAATTATGAATTGTTTTAGCAGACTTTTCTGTGATTTCTACATTTTCTTCTTTTTCTTTTTTATTATTCTTGGTATTATCTATAACATTTTTGTTAGATTTTTCTTCTTCATTAACAGGATTTTTTTTTCTCATTAAGATTAATTTTTTTAGGACTTTCTGGTAACTATTAATTAATACATTTAAATATTAATAATTATATATATGTATATATAAAATAGAAAAAATCTAAATACTATACATACTGGAATACATTCCTCTTCATCACTAGAATCATCAACAGGAGCTATTATTCTTGATCTTTTTTTAACAATTTTTTTCTCTGTCTTTTTTAGATTTTTTTTACAATTAGATTTTTCAGATGAAGACTTTGAAGATTCAATTTCAGAACTTGATTCTATTTTATCTTCTTCAATTGATCTTGATTTTTTTTGTTAACTTCTTCCTTAGCATTTTTGAAATTTATTTTATTATCATATTCTTCCAATGAAGACTCTGGAGATTTAAATTCAGGACTTGATTCTATTTTACTTTTTACAATCAACTCATTTTCTTTTTGTTCCTTTATATTTATTTTATCTTTCAATATCTTTTTTGCATTACTTTTTTTAGGAGTTTTCGTTAATTCTTTAATTTTTTTTTTCTTTTTAGAACTAGTTGGTGTTTTAGTTTTTTTCTTTTCATTTTCTATAGATGTTTCATTAGATAATAGCTTAATTTTTGGTGTTGATTTTTGTTTTAAGGAATTTTCTGATTTTTTGATAGGTGAAGGACTAAAAAAAAAACATAATAAATAACGAATCATTTTATATTACATCATGTGTAATATTTACTTCAAATGTAATATTAATAAATAATTTTATATATAAAATTTTTAAATTAGAGATATAATAAAAATAAAATATGATAAATGTATAAAATATATGATATTTTTATTTATTAAAATAGATAATATATAATTAGATAATATATTAAAAATTGTATCATTATAATTTAATTCAATTACCTGTTAGTGTCACTATCTTCGCTATTATTTCTCTTTCTTTTGCTTCCATTTCCTGAATTGTTCCGATCCTTGCTGTTAATTTTATTATTAGCATGAGTGCAATTAACAATATTATTTATAATCGAAAAAGAAATATTACACAGTTTAAAATGTTTATTTATAAATATCATATGTGAATAATTATTTTTAAATATATTTAAATTCATATTCAATATAATTCGGCTAAACATAATTGTAATTCAATAAATTAGTTAAAATTATTAACGTACCTTACATTGTTAGATTCAATTTTATCTTTCGAATTCACTGTTGAGAAAAATGATCTGTTAAATGAAAAAAAAATTATAAATGCTTCGAAAGTTTATATTTAATTATATATAATTAAGAATTTATTAATTTTTTTGATTTTAATTTATTAATTTCTGTTAGGTTACATACGTTATACTACGTTGAGCCATCTTATACGTATTTCTGACATTTTCTTGCTTTTCCCGCGCAAATTCGATACATTTTTTTTTATGCATGTATTCATATATAAACAAATCACGTTGAATTTTTATTCTATTAAGATTTAAAAAACTAAAAAGTCAATGTTTTTTTAATTTTTTTAATTTATATATATAATAATTAAATACATTTTAATTATATTTTCACATTTAATAAAATTTTAATCAACTATTATAAAGATAGAAAGAGGAAATAAAAGGAATAAAATACTTCCAAATATTATTTTCATTACTATATTTCTCATGTTTCTTGAAATCCAAACACATCTATTTATATTATCTATTGATAAAATAATACAATAAATATCCGCATTATTCTAAAATTAACAAAATATCTTCCTTTTTTTTCTTGTATTTCTTGGTCTAAAGTGTGCAATTCTTTTTGAAGCTTCTTTCCAAATATTTGTTCTTATAAATTTAAATGCAATATTTCTTATAACAACGAACAGCCTTAGCCAATAGTATATTCAGTGTTTGAAAAGTAAGGCGGACAAATCAAAATCATGAATAATGGATTATATAAAATATTAAAATATCGATAGCAAGAGCATAATGGAGCAAAAACGGGAAGGAAAGGGGAACATTTGTGATATTTTTTTAAAATTCGTACACACCCCTAACCATAAAAATAGTAATAGTAAATAAAAAATAAAGAAATGTAATACGATAAAGGCAAGATACATTTGCATCCGATTTTTATTGTTCATCTATGGTCTATATTAAATGTGTTAGTATTATTCGTCTAAGGATCATTGAATTATCAGCTTCGTAATTTACATTTCGATCCTATACATTAAATTATGAAGTGTGAGTCTAAAGAAAACTCTTACCATGACATTTCCCTTTATGATCCAATATGGACTAAACTTTTTGCAACTTTTTCATTTTTTTTTTCTTTCTTTTTTTCAATTTTATAAACATCATAAGACTGTAGATTCTCTTGTACAAATTTTTATACCCATATATCTCTTTTATCAACAGTTCGAATTATCTTAGAGCTAATTCATTTTTCCTCTGAAAGTATAGCTTATTAAAAAAATAAAAAGAAAAACATACATAACAAATTTACGATTAAATTATTTCAGATAACGATCACAGGAAATAATAGTGAAAAAGAAAACAAATAGTTCGAGCTCTAATATCTATATTCAGGAAAAGGGGAGATCATAGTAAGAAAAACTCCATGGATCTTACGATCTCTTACTATATAAATGCTATAAAGCATCGACGATAAAAATGAATCTTTTTTTTAACTTTGAGAATCTTACATAGAGAAAGAGTAATATTCTCCTTGTATTGTAAAATAGAAATTTGTGGAAATTACTACGGCTAAGTCAGTTAAGTAGATTTCTCATTATCCTGGTGACATTAACATATTTCACGGCAAAGTATAACGAACATATGGAACTTCCACGTCATTACCATCGGTATCATTACAGCAAAGTTCAAATACCAATGCACGTACATGAGGTTCTAACTTCTTCTTTGACACCTTTTTTACTACTTCAGACATCAAAAGACTCATACGCTCTTGGCATTTTGGTTTTGCCATGAAGAAGGAATAAAGCATACAAACACCTTGAGATAGCATAGTAACCTCCAGATTGTGATGGTCCTTGAAGTAATCTAAAAACTCTTTTAGCGTCAATTCTCCCTTTACTTCGAATCGATCCCACAGTGTCCAATCTGTATCGTAATATTTTAATTTTGGCGCAGCTATAGGTTCAGAAAAACCGAAGAATGGCAAAGCCAAATTAACAAAACCATTCTTATAGATAGATAGATCCTTCACGCCACGAGTCAGCTTAATAAGTTCTAGACAAACTAAACCTGCCACAACTGAAGTAGTAGTAGCAATAGCTGGTATTATTTTACCAGCAATTAGTTTACTCTTATGTCGGTCAGCAGGTGGAATTTTGTAATTAGTAGCACGGAGATTTGAAGCAGCCACAATAAAATCAATGTGGAAGTTGGTATCATCATCCTTCTCGAATTCTTGTGGATAGATTACTAAGCCATTAAGATCTTCAACTCTTGGTAGTTCTTCTTGCAATTGAGTGAGTCTCTCATGATCGATATTTCCGCTACCATTGGATACTTGTACCTGCGAATCTGTCTCGGCGATCTTTACTCCAGATTTCGGTGTGAAATTCGGCACTTGGACAGTACTAGCAATCCTAGCGATTTCTTCTCGGTTTCTATTGATGGGAATACCATACACTTTTGCCTTTAAATTAGCAGCAGCTACAATATAATCTAAATGTAATGGATCATTAACATTAAACGTGAGTGGCTCAGGGCATCTTTTTGGCCCAGACCAAAATAGCTGACCACTGGATGTCACTTGATCAGGAGGAAAGTTAAACAAAAGTTGTCTGATCTGATTACTGTATTGTTCCTGCCAATGACAACGAGCCCAAGCGACACAATCAGCAAATGATTTTGGTCTTTCATCAACCAGAGCTGTTTTAACGGATTCTAAAACTTCTAGTGGCTGAACACCAGGTAGTTTTATCGTTCTCTCCACAAATTGTGGATCGGATATATATTGAGCGGCGTTTTCCGCAGCTTGACGGAATAAACCTTCAAAATTATCTCTGGCCCATTGTAGAGTATGTTCTATAGCATTAGGGAATTTTTTAATGTGCATATTGGTATACTCTTTTCTGGAGGATCTTGAGAAGAACTATATGATTCAGTTAAGAAGGGAACAACAACTTGAGTGTTACCCTTTGTACCTAGTGTACCAGATTCTAAGAGCGGTTTTCTGTAATATACACAACGGCGATCCATATAAATACGAGCGTTAACATTATCTAATGCATTTGCTACTCCATCTAAGACTTCAAAAAAGTCATCATTATAAATTTTTTCTGTTTCAGGACAAACTCTATTTTCATGAGCTATCACTTTCATACTTGGATTCATATTTTTTATGACTTTAGCTGCTGTTGATGATTTAGATTGTTGAACATCAGATGGTCTAAATAAGAATTGTCTATTTAAATTAGATTTTTCTATCAAATCCATGTCAGTGACTATAACGCTACCATTCTCAGCACCAACACCTAACATTGCAAAGTTTTTGAGCAATTCACATCCTATAGCTCCTGCTCCTACAACAAAATATTTTAAATTTCCAATCTTTGATTGGAATTTGCGTCCAAAAACAGCAATCTGTGAATCATAACGTGATCCAATAGAACAACAATCTTCTTCTGTGAATTCAGATCGATCTGTAGGTAGACATTCAATAGCATCAAAATATAGCCATTGGAATATAGGACAAAACTTTCCAGAACAAGCTTTCATCACTTCTTGGGCTACAATTCCTCCAATAGTAGCATTCATTGGATTTAAATTTCCAGAACATATTTTTGCAAATACATCAAGTAGTTCTATATTTATTTCAGTTTCACTACCTATTTCCTCTTTCAGAGTTCTAGCTAAACTTAAGAATTCATTTGCATCTTCTTGATTCCATGGTCTAGGTAATTTTCTATTTTCCTCTATATAATTATGTAATGTCATGAAAGCTAAATGTATCTGTTCTGGATAATCAAACTTTCCAAAATCAGTAATTTGAAACTTTGGTTTCTTCAAAGCATCTTTCAAAGAAGCAAATTGTAAGATCTTTGGCATTTTTACTTGTGTTACTATACCACCTCGAATATATTCAGAATATTTGGATGTATCTCCAATGCTAAAAGTATATGGACCAAGAACTTTAATTTTTATTGGATCACAACCATTTAATTCTGTCATTCCCTGTACTTCAGAAAAAGTGACATAATCACCATCTTCCATGCCATGACGTGTATCATCTAAACAAGTAACTACACCTTCTGTGTCTTGTGAAATACTAGCAACCATTGCACTTACAGGTGGTTCACCATTGATGTCAACTACTGTGAACTTTTCTCCAAAGTCACAAAAGACTTGAGAAAATAGGCCTCTGGTATCTGCTATAAGAAGAGCTATATTATTTGCATGAGTAATCTCAGAAATACGTAATTGTTCTTTCAATGAAGTTTCAGTCAAAACAACAACTTTAAACTTCTTGATGTAACAATCAGTTAAGGGCCCAGAATAATGACGTGTAGGGACATAATTATTCAATTCTGATAAACGTTGGCAGCAGGCAACAGCTCGATTTTTACCTAAAAAATAAAATTATAGCAGTATAATTTTTTTTGTTTATAACATAAAAAAATAATACATATAGAGCTATAATTATATTAACCATAATAATTATATCATTTCTTCTATATATATTTAAAATATATGATATAAAAATATAAATATAAAAGAAATTTTTTCAATATAATAATGTAATTTTAAATGATACAATTAATTATTTTGATAATTAAATTTACATCTTAATATCAATATCAAATCTTAATATCAAAATTGCAAAAAAAACTTTTTACTTTGAAGAAATTTATATGTTTTGTGATTCGCGGGTCAGGGCGCTCACCTATATCCGCTTCGGTAAGATAGAATTGTGAACCGAGATCTGAAATCTGGCACAGCGCGTCATCATGCAATGTAACGGACTTGACGCCGCCGAGGATGACGTTCTTAGCAATTTCCACGCCGAGCCCGCCGAGACCGGATATCAAGACATCAGAGGATGCCATGCAACGCATGGCGTCATGGCCGAGGACATAGAGCTGCCTGGAGTATAGACCCTCATCAATTTCGGCAGAAGCCCGAGACGTCGAGCCATTTTTCGCCATGTCTGCGATCGTCGTCGAATCGTCGGCTCCTCCCGTGGTGGCAGCAACGCGTCGCTTCTTAGCTGGGGGGTCAACGGAGCTCTCCACCACCTCAGCACTAGACATCGGACTTCACGGGGCGCCGTATTATGTCCGTCGATTGTTTTTCAACCCGGCCGACTGCACTTTAATAAAGCTCGTAACTTCACCGCACGCACCGACCTTGCTACACGCGCCCGCTCTCTCTCTCGCCGCACCTCTCTCCCGTTCTCCGTTCTTCGTCGCTTCCAGTTTACTCTTTCGAAACTGTACCCGCACTTTACCACAATACCACTGTCCATCCAAGAATGATTCTCGTTCTTTCATCCGCTCTGTTGCTGCTCTCTCGTAGTTGTACCAGCAGCAATCGTGATGTCGATGCTTTCTCGATAAAGTGGGGATGACTATTTGCTCGATCGGTAAAACAGCGATACCGCCTTTCTTGTGAAACAAAGGCAATTCTTTCTTTATTCTGTATATTTCTTTCACAATTCTTGAAACGACATGTAATAGATTCACAAAGGAAAAGCACAAATTGATCATTTCCACAACAAAATTTTGTATGGTATTGTTTCTTTCTTTTTCTGTTGCGACATCGTTGGTTAACGTTACATCATGAATTTTGCATTTGAATGCAGCGCGTTGATTGGAATGCGAAACAAGCGAATGAAACGACATATTTGACGAATAGTCAAAGATGATTGGTTATTTGTGTTGTACATTAATTGTAGACGAAATGACTGTGACCAATAAATAATTCGTTTCTAATATTTTAGATTGCATAAGTATTTGGATAAGCGCCCTCTATGTACAGGTTATTGTTAATGACAATCATTTCTAATTTAGTTTATGCTTTTATTTATCTGACGTGGCAAGATGCCTATCTAATAAATTATATATGTATGCATTACCAATGAAATATTGTCGCGCAATTATAAAATTATTTTGTTTATGTCGATAAAAGTCATATTACGTCATATATTTTTCTATAGTTTACATATCTTTTTTTATCGAGAAACAAAAAAAACAATATTTTCTTAACATTTATCTTATATATTATTTTTTCAGAATACTTTTTTCTATATTAAATTATTTTGTGATATTCATTAATTTATAACTTTCAATATAATTTAATTTGGAAAAAAAATTCAACTATTCATTTTTATGAATGTTTAGGTATATATAAAGAAACAGTTCGATAAAATAATGAAATACTTTATTATATGTAATTTTATTCACACCTTTGTCATTATAAATCTTATTTTGAACTATTAAGAAATAGTCATTTTCTTTTCATTATAGAAAAATAATGACCTGTAGATTTACATATAAGTTCACACATAATTACATACTTTTATAGAAATAATACATCTATATATACTATACATTTTTGTTACTTTAAAAACATGATATTACTGTGTTGTTAATATTTAAAAACATACATACATCTTATTGCCTGTTTTAATTCTGTCTCATTAATTTATATTATTAATTTATATAATCGCTATCAAATTTGAAATATTTATTCTTTTCGATCTTTTGATTATTTTTTTTTTTTTTTTTTAGTCACAAGATTTACCTAAAATAATCTAAAATAATAATCAGTTAAATCAATTATTTTTCATATATATACATATATTCTTTCCAATTCATTTCTTTAATCTTATCTTCACAAATGATCTAATTTTGATTTATTTCAGATCATTACCATTAAAATTCATCATCAATTACTGTGTTTATTGATTAGAGTGGTTCAAAGTGGTTTATCTTCGTCAATAGGAATTGGACTTCCAAACGCTCGTTGAATAGTTTCATCTTCTTTTTCCTTAGATTTTTTTGATGTCTTTGGTGAATGATCTTCAAATTCTGAAGTATTCAACGGCGTCAAAATGTGCGTTACCGCCGGAAATGGTATTGTTGGCACCTCTGATTCAGCTGTGTTCGGCATTGAGTTCATCATTTCTAAAGAACCGCTAAGAATTGAATCTGGGGATTCATTATACGAATGGTCAATCGGTTGAACTGGTTCACCCAAAAGATCATTGGTTTGTGATGATCTACGTTCTTCAGGGACTGTCGAGGTGCGACGTATGCTCGCCTTTTTATACCTATTACCATGCATTCCTTTAATTAGTAGATAGAATGGTACTAATTATGTTAAATATGATAACACATTGCAGATAGAAGTTAATTAATGTCTTAATAAACTCGATGAAAATATTTTTATAATTAATAAAATATATAATGGATTTAAAAAATTGTATTTGATAAGACATAAAGCAGAACTTCTAATCCACAATGTGAATAATAATTCCTTAATGTTTGTTCAAAGAAATTATATTTGCTTAGAATGAATTTAAAATTCATTTAAAATATATTGTTTTAATTTTTATTTTAAAATATATTTCAATGCCAATTTGCATTGCAATTGATCTTGAAAGGAGTTTAAGAATGCATTGATTTAAATATTATATTGGATATACATAATATTACAATGATTTATTTGTACTGACTGATTAATATCTATCGGTGACATAGACTGATCCGGACTCATTCTCGTCATGCCGTTTCCATTATCCCATGAATTGTGTCTACGGTGATGACTCTTGTCTTTGTATGCTTCTGCTATATTATTATAGCTTCCTACAATTCTTCGTTTATCTAATTCTTTTTGTATTTTCTCTGGCATACTACTTGCAGATCTGTATAATCCATGTCTGATCATATCCTATAAATTTAAATTTTCTTTGTAATGTTTGATATCTTTTAAACATAAAAAAAATCTTTTTTAAATAAATGTCAGAATTTTCATTATTCATTTTCTATGTTATTATTTATTATTTTCATCTCAAATATTTCAACATACACTCGAAAGGGGAGTAGGTTCTACGTTAGGATTGGTCCAAACATTGGTTGCGCCAGGTGCATTTTCGTTATTATTATCATTTAACATTTCCGCTGAATACGTAGGTCTGGCAGGTATGATTGGAGATCGACAACATACTCTGCAGTGATAAAACCTATCGAATTAATTGAATATCAAAATCGTCTTAAATCTTATTCTACTTACGAGTTGACATCTTCGAGTTTCTTCAGTAACCTCTCGTTTTCTCTGCAAACAAGTTCCTGGTCCCGTATCACTTGCTCTCTTGTAGCATATAACTCTGCATTTTCTCGACGAAGAGCTTCATTCTCGGTAATGTATGCATGGATCAATTGACTTAATTCGGGTCGTTCCATTTCAGATAGTTTATTTAAATCTACTACTGGAGGGGTTAATGGTATTCTTCTTTCAGCTGTAAAAATTTCGTTAGAAAAATTCAATCATTAAATGTTATGAATATTTTTTTGTGATATATGATTTTTTAAATTAAATCATAATTAACTGATATAAAATACCTTTAGATTCGCTACGAATTATATTTGAGGCATCATTACTTAAATGAAGAGCTGCTCGAAGATGTTCATTTTCTGTTTGTAAGGCTCCTACCTCCCGTTTCAAGCTAAGGATCAGAGCTTCTCGAGGATCCTATAGAATTAAATTTTATTTATGCACTTAACTTTATAAAATGCTTTAATATCTTTCCACTCACCATTACCACGATAGGTTTTGTTCGGATTTTTTTTACTCTTGCTGCATATCTTAAAGTATTCAAAGTTTCGCTTGCATTCGATTTAGCTGGTGAAATACAAGCGATCTAAAATTCACAAAAATCATCTGATTAACCATATTGAATGAATATATAATTATTAGATTATTAGAATAATTTTACCATTAAAGTAACACCATTTCCCGCTAAACTATCGGCCAGAAGTTTAGTTAGTTTACTGTCTCGATATGGAATATGTCCACCCTTACGTTTCCCATCACTCAAAGAAGCTATGCAGTAACCTTCGTAAAAAAAATATTTATATAGAAGTTAGAGAAACTTCTTTGTGACATAAAAGTTTTTTTACATAATTCATACTATCTCGAGCACTTATCGATTGTTACATAGAAGTTAATGTTGACAATAAAACTTGCACTCTTTCATTCATTGGAATCGATTCTTACAATACTTTTGCATAATTAAAAACATTAAGTTTCCGAGATAATATTAAACACGATTGCATAGTATTAATTTGATATTGAATTTCTTAAAAATTTTGTTTCTAAATAGATTATAGAAAAGAAGGGAACTTGAAGTTGATAAAACTTTTTAGAATTTTGAACTTCTAGTTTATATACTTATTATTTTTAATTGTAATTGAATAAAGAGAACGTCATAATGTTTTCATAGAACATACCTAGAACCATTAAACTTTTATTGATATTGTTCGCTTCTTCCAAAGTTTTTCCCTCACTTTGTGTTTTTTTTGTCATCTCACTTCCAGCCAGGTCGACAAAATTAATTTTTCCTTGTCTTGAGATGAACACGCTGTTATCCATCTATCGATATTAATGTATATGTGTGTATAATTTTATTTTTTTTATATCATAATCGGGATCCTCACCTGTTGCTCAGATGTGATATTGACAGTGAGAATACTGTGACTTCTACTAGAATGATCATTCATATTGTGCGCACCGACTTTTCTATTCCTCATCCCTAAAGAATTAAATATATTTTTTCATATTTAAAAAAAAATACTAAATATAACAATTTCAGCCATAAACTGACTATTTTTTTAAGTAAAAATATTTTTATTAAGATTAAATTCAATATTATTTAAAGGTTCTTCAATAAAACGTACATTGTAGGACTTTAATTAAAAAGAATTAACTCTATTTATTATAAGATGCAAAAAATGTAATTAAAAACATGGCTACCTTCTTCGAGAACAGCTAAAAGATCATCAAGTTCTTCGCATTCAACAGTGAAAAGGTTCTCAACGAAAAAGCCTCGTGTCTTTTTACTCCACCGGACCATTAAAGGTTTCCTCGATGTGCCAGGATTTAACAGATCTATTACCTGAATTTCGAGATTAAAAAGAGATTAAAAAAGCTTTATAAAACAGAGATCTGAAGTTCTTTTCTAATACTACATATATATCTATATATCTGACCTTTTCGTTATAGATCTCCAGGAAAGAGGCTTTTAACACGAAATTACATTCTTCTCGTTCTTGCAACAATTTAAATAAGTAGACGAAAGACCGGAAGACCAAGCCATGTTGCTCCGAATAAGGATTCATTTTTTCGAACTAATAAAAAATAAACATTTATCAAGTATCTTTTCTTACTTACTAATTCGTTAAAAGATTCTCGTAATGTAATCTTGTTTCTTATATATTTCTTTTTAAATATAATTTACAATTCAATTATTTTCTAATATTACATGCAATGTTATATTGAATTTATTTTGAAATGATAAAAGATTATTGCATTTAAAAAAAACTCTAATATTATTACAAAGTACCAACTTTAATTATTCTATCGCTTCGATTTTTTAATTTTACTTGTTTTTGCGATCACATAGAACATGCTCATGCGGTGAACAAGACAAGCATTGTCCACTCAGTCATTATCTTATCTACGCATGTAAAACAACATTAACCTTTTCGTTATATTCTTGTATGACCTTCAATTCGATTAATTTTAATACATTATTTGTAATACTTTCTCTATTCTTACACTTCCTGATAAAAATTTTTAGAAAGTGCGCTCAGTTCATTGAATAAACGAATAAATCGATGCGTTCCTATCGGAAATATATCAAGGAAATTGAAAAAGGGAGTCTTTTTTACTAACCATTTCTGGAGGCCCTGTGAGCGTGTGGGTTTTCCCGCTTCCAGTTTGTCCGTAACAGAATGCAGTACAGCTGAATCCCTCCACCGCCATTTCGATAAGTTTTTTCACGCCAGAAAATTGTAAGATGTCCTCCTGAGTGGCCGTGGGCTCGAACACCACGTTGTACGAAAATAATTTGCCCTTCTTGTCCCCGCTACTCGGAAATCCTTCGCACTGTACAGAGTTGAGCGATGTCAACGTGATATACGATAATTTCGTTTACTTTTAATTAACAGCGACGAGAACTAAGAAAACAGTATCGAATCATCGATGAATTATCTAAGTTTGTATTTCTATTTTAAATGATTGATTTCGTATTAATGACAGAAGGGGAAAAAAACTTACGTATATCTGCCCCTCTCCGGGAAATTGCACGGCCATATCATCGCCGGTTTTAATTCCTTCTTACTGAGTGGACGAACTCTATAAAACGAATGATTGATCAAAGTCAAATTAATATTATAATAATAATATTCAGATAATTTCATGGATGATCATATTGTTTTTAATTACCTGACGACAACATTTATGTTGTTCTCTGGAAGCAAATGTTTGGTGGCAATCACTCTTTTATCACCGTCTATCAGTCTTTCGATACTGCCGGTCCTAAAATTAAAACAGGAGTGATAATTATTTTCTAATGAAGTGAAATCGAAGCTATTGAATTTCCTTGAAATCACAACATCGTTCTCTGTCATGATTGAACGTTTCAACAGGAGTAAACCATCTAACGGCTTCATGATTGACCTCCTATCATGGCGGTTAAATAATTGAGGAAGTTCAATCAATCGGGCTAACTGAAACTGTCGGGGAAAAATAGCGTGATTGATCAGCTTCGTTTTCGTTTTTTTTTTGTTTCTGCACCACAGGGTTAATCGTAATATCGAAAAATCGTTCCGACCTTAGTCAATGATTCACGAAGGCTTGATTAGCAAACCAATAGTCTCGATTGATTGCTTGGATAAACAATACTTTTCGATTTTGTTGCTCGTTGTACATAGAACAAGTTACACAACCATAATATGTTGCTTCTTATTAATTATGAGTGCTCAGTTAAATAAATTTCGAAAGAATAGCTATAATTTATTTTTAATATTATTCGTTATCAATTTAAAATTACATTTTACACGAAATATAATGAACTATTAAAATTTTAATAGAAGAAAGCTTCCATAAATTTTGAAAAATTTTTTTTAATGTAATGTCAAGAATCCAATTACTGATAATATGAATCATTACGGATAAAATCTGTACCATCTGATCGTGAAAGCTTAAAATTATTCACACAGAAACTTTGATTTCACATTTTAATTGATGTTTTTCGCACAAAGTGTATATGATGAGTCGCAAAACTTTTCACATTTCCCTGGACCTGTAAAAAGAATCATTGATAATTATTATATTTAAAGAGAAATGAGGGCAACAATTTACTTATTTTATTATAGAATTGGTTATTATAATTCTAAGAACTGTAATAACTTTTTAAATCTATTATCTCATATTTCAATGTCAGTGCATTATCATGATCATTGCATATAGTTATGTGACATGGAATGATTTGATTGAAGTTATAGAAAAAAACAACATATTTTATATCGTGATTCTTTGATCAGGAAATATAACGATTATGCTAAAAGCATAATTAAAAACATGATTTGCTATCATTGGAATTTAATTAATAAGCTTTCAGAAATTGCTATAAATTCATAGATATTTCGAATATAAAATATTATAATAAAAGCCACTGATAAGTACTTTCGTTTGCCATTTTTAAAATTTTCTTTATTTAGATTATGTTTAGATAATTTATTTATTTAATCATGAATGTTTAATACGATTAATTTCTTGCATAAATATTTATTAATTCGAGCTATATTAAAATCGTTAATATCCAAGGTTAATATTTCTTTTTATTTATTCATCAAGCTGATGTCTCTCTGATAACTCTAAACGATGACTCAATTTCTACGCTTTACATAATTCAATTTTATAATTTGATTCATGGCCTGTATTGCAGTCATTAACGAAATCAGTTGGCAATATTATTGTAGACCACGTATCGTTTTTATTCTTCGCGTCATTTTATTTCACAATGAATTCTCTTCTCACTTATATAATTTTTATATTCGAATTGCAGGATTAATATCTTATCTAATATAGATTGTAAAATATTTTTATTTTATTTTCGTATTTTCATACTAAAAAAAAAAAAAAAAAAAAAAAATAGGAAAAAATAGAAAAAAATCGAACATTGTCCCCTCAAATTATTATTCATTTCTACCATAAATTAACTTGGGTGGGATTAAAAAATATTTGGTTCACGTGTTTGAGATCTTTTTCCATGGGCGCATGGTTCGCGATCGTCGCGATATTGACCGACAGAAAGAGACAAGCAAGGTCTTGCAATCGATACACGGCATCGAAATGTGTCGCAATTGCGACGTATGTGTCTATCAATGTCTACATGCATAGTTACACGAAGCAATTAAGGTGAGTTTACACAAGCAGACAACCCCTCATGGAAAATGAAATCGAATGACTAGTAGCTTCTTCGATGTGTCATATCGACCTATCTGTGCCCTCGATCTAGAGGGCAATTTCCAGGGAACGATTCGATTCATTAATTCAGAATCCCGCTGATAATTTATTTATTGGTTTTTCCTTTGAAATTATTCGATGCGCTGTTCAATGAGTTCAATTCACGACAATATTTTACTGAATTGAATGTTAATTCTTCTAGTTTAATGTCGAGTGATAATTTCAGTAATACTTTTCCATCGATCAATATTTTATATATTTTCCTTCCATTAAGATTTATTCGCATTTACATAATTTTTGTGATTTCTTTCTTAATTGTTTTATTGATTTATTACGGGTTTCAATTTTTTTTCTTTTGTTATCAGTATTTTTATAACATTAATTCGTGTAATTTAATGGAATTTTGTATTATCATTAAGATTGATAAATATAATTCCTGTTAAATCATACAATATTGATTTTTATTATCTATGTATTTTTTATTATTGTGTTTAAAATATCGTTATTATCGTTTGTGCGAGAGATTTCTTTCCTTATTATATCTACATATATGATACATCCAATAAGATATATCTAATTTATAGAATATTCATAAATTTAATCGATAAAAAAACTGTTATTATTGGAAAATATAGATGTATAAAATGTTTAATATAAAAAAAGAAAAATGAAAATAATTCTCACATCGATTGTTTAATACAACGCGTTTGTTTCTCGTAGAAACGTTCGAACCAGATCGATAAGTTTCTACGTAAACGTTTGCTTACATTGTCCATTTGCGCAAAATTGCTGTAGTGTCGATGTTACATCAGATAACATCAACGCGAGCTTTTCGCTATTGACCTTAGTATGAAAATTATCTATCTATTTTTACTTAGGAAGTCATTTTTAAAGGATCTATACTTGAGTGTGACAATAAACGTAGAGTAGATTATTAAAATATTAATAGTATTTTTGAATGATATGATCTTCACTAAAAAATGATAAAAATGATTTATTAATAAAAGAATTTTATAGATTAATAAAAGTACGATATAAATATCAAACTTAAACATTGCATATATACTCACTCGCTTCCACGAGACTTCGTCAAACTGTTTTTCCCGACTACTTTGACACCGAAATTGCTCTTTCCTGGACTATTTCCTCTGGAAATAGTCTGCTCCACTGGACTATTGCCACGCGATCCGCGACTCTTCCTCTTATCTCTCCTTGCATTTTCTTCTTGAGGACTGTGGCCTCGTGAAGGTGGTGAATTTTTCACAAGCACCATTCGTCACCTGTAAAAGATACATATTAATCTAATTTTTATTTTATAAATTGATTGATTTTTTAATTTATAATTTTCAAATCATTAATATACAGAAAAGAAAAAGAAATTAATTAATCGATGTAAATTGAAATCGAAATATAATAATCTCGTTGATTTTTAATCGTGCGATTGATGCCTTTCTCACAAGACAAAGTCATCGAGAACAATTGGATCCAGTCAGAATTGAATCGAGAAGTGAAATGCTTCATTTTCCGGGATTCACAATAGTGAAAGCCTTTACGAATCCATCCGACAACTATACGCATCCGATGAAAATTTATACAACAACAAACTGGTTAATTATCCGAGTTCGCTTACATACAGGATGATAATTATACATGTCGGTGCAATTGAAGCGAAAGTTTTCCCGCTGTTAATTGCGATTCTACGATAGAAATTCTCCAATTATCTGTCACCAATAAGCGAATCGTGAGTGTAAATTAAACATAAATGTAAATATACATTTTATAAATAATTCGTTTTCACATGAATTTAAATAAATGAAATTGTGATGAAACGAAAGTATAAATGTTCCAGCCATATTAATCAATGCATTTTTTGCTTTCAATATATAAAGAAGGTAGAAAAAAATTATATAGATCAGGATATTCGGTTGTTTCACGACTTCGTTCCGCTTGGTTCATTTTATACCTTTCATTTTTGTAACGATTAATTTAAATATAACAGTTTGCTGATATTTTGAAAGTGAAAGTCGATAAGATCGGCAATAAAATCAATTCCTCCGAATTTAGATTAAACCATTTCGAATAGATTATAGTATTAAAAGTTTTCCTATTTAATTGTCTTTATTTTCAATATTTTTTTTTTTAGAAATAATTATCAAGAAAAAAAATATTAGAAACAGGAAAGTATTTTATTATATATTGCGTTTTTACTTTATTTATGACAGTTTCTTTTATATCTATTATATCATAATTTTCACAAAGATTAAGTACGATAAACAATTTTTAATTTATTATAAATTATTCAGTTTCCTATAAATTATGTTAAAATATTTCCAATTATAAATAGGAAATATTTACACTAAATTAAACTAAATTATATGAATTAGCTTTTTAATTTTGCATATTAAACTAGAAACATGTATTCATATGAATATGAATTCAAATTTCATAAGTGATCAAAAAATTTATTGCAATTTCTATTAGTAACAATTCACAAAACTTTCAATTCTTTTGAATTTCTCCTTAATTAAATACGTAACTAAGTTCACTTACATTCATGGAAATTTCATGGATCGTTCAAAACTATCCCATCACCTAAATTCTTCACCAATTTTTACTTCTGCTTGTTCTCCGTGAATATTTTCTTCAATTTTCCTTTTAAATTTATAACAATTCCTGATAGTTTTGCACAAATGTGTTTCAATTAACACAGACACTTATAAGAGTAACGGAAATTCATGTAATAGGAACAACAGTCGACATACTACTGACACATAGCAGGGGTAGTTGGCGATTGGGTGGTGGTTTTCCGACGCGTTCCAGTGGACACCGATCGAAATCAATGTTTAACTCATTATTGTTCAGATATTCCTCTTTCGTCCCTGGCCGTGGCCAGTGTCCACGTGGATCTCGATATTGCGTCAGAATGAACTTGACATGTCGAGATGGACACTACTGATCCATGGGCCAATAGACTGCTTTTGACTTCTGGTGCAAATATGATAGAAGTAAACTAGATGTTGAATGCTAATAACTGTTTCAAATGCAAAATGACATAAGCTGTTTAAATATTTAAGTAACTTCTGAAAGATTCATATTTACCGGGAACCTTGAAGAAAACGAAAGTCACTAATGAAATATGAAGAAGAGAACAGTCTGCACTTTTCAATCTAGTAACATTAACTACGTTCAAATTTTCTTTAGTAATTAAATATTGCTGTGAAGAATCCTGGAAATGCTTTAAATGTTAAAATATTATTAAAATTTTATTATATGAAATAATCAATGATATAATATTTCAATAATTTTGTAAGTTCTGATTTAATTTTTTTATTGAAATATTTTAAAAATAGATAATTATTAAAATTCCTTTTTTTTTACCAGTTAAGAGTTTAATCGAAAGATTGATTTTAATTTTCAATCTTGCTAGAGGTAAGAAATAAAATAAGAAATAATTGCTGGAAGAGATATTTATAAATCTTCGAGATTTTATTTATTTTGTAATTGTAAAAATCAGCTTCAGTCAGTGAAGATGAAGAAAAAGTAAAAGAAAAATCGTCGACGTGTAGAATCGTTCGACTCGAAAATTACGGGAGGATCCCCGTGGAAATGACCAACTATAAATACACGAGAGTCAGCGGGGCCACGCTGTAAACTTTATTGCGGCTCGTTTTCCGTTGCGGGCTACCCGCGAAGAAGAAGAAAACGGTCGTTCTCAAAAAATTCTTGCGGCTGCAGCAATCCTCGTTTCACTGACGGTATTTTTGCATTGGCCATGTTCATCCTTGACCGCGTAGCTTATGAATTTTTTCACAAATTTTATCGTGTCGTCGACTCTGAAACATTATATATCTTCTTAGTTCGTTAACTCGATTTTTATTACCTTGAAATAAAAAAAAAAATAATAAAAATAAGAAAAAGAAGAAAAAAGTTTGAAAATATTTTTTAATAACTGTACCAATCGTAGCCATGTTATAAACTCTAAATAACTATTACAAATCACTATAACGGTATTTATCGTAAGGCCAGATGGAATGAAACACACATAGAATGATAATTGTCTTGTTCTTTGCATTTTGAATATGGGAACGATGATGGTTTCTATAGATAAATATGAGTTATTGGTGTAATATTACTATATTTCGAATACAAAATTTAAAATTTTTTCAAAATATGAATTATAAAATGTGATTATACCAATGAGAAAATGAGAAAAGAAGAGAAATGCGGATATTTCATCTTATTACAGGATTTCTGTTGGCCATGCTTGTCACGAGATTAATGATGGAAAGCCAAGAATCTGGAAAATACTTTTTGTCCGCGTACCTATAAGCTCGAGACTCACTGACAATTTCAAAGAAACAGAAAACAGATTGTTCTGTGGTTGTTCTATAATTCAATAATAACAAGATTATATTATCATCTTAATATTAAATGCTATTATTTAATATTAATATAAATATTTATATAAGTCTTGTTCTATATATTACTGACAAATAAATAAAAATAAAAAATATTGTTATCATAGGAAATACGAAAGAAATATTCCTATAGAGCTAAAATAATGATGCAGAAGGAATGCATCTCCTTAGAAATAATTCTAAAAAAAAAAAAAAAAAAAATAAGAAGAATTTATCATTCAAAAGATATGAATTATCATTGCAAAGTAGGGAATACCCAAGAGCTATAGGTTATTCCAGGGCGAAAGTGGCATTTATCGTACTTCGTGCCAACTCGTTTGGCTGACATTAAGCTGAGTGCAGACGATACTCACAGATTTGCACATGTACAGCCATAATACCGGTTTAGTATAAAAAATCACAAGGCACATTTTTCATAAATAAATAATTATTTAAAAATATAATTGTGACCTAAAATGAGGATATGATTATTAACATTATTCGTTATCGATACTTTCTATATACATTCAGTACATAATGAAAGCAAGACTTATTTATACATAATTCAAATTTATATAAATTTACCTCAGATAAATGTGAATTTTAAATACATAGATTTTTAAATTATTTAAAATTCATTATATTTTTTTATATATAATTTTTAATATTTTTGTTGCAAAACAAAAAATACAATATATAACAAAGTTTAAATAATTATAGAGAAATAACGCCATATGGATTTCATAGATGTATGTATACATAGAAGAGTGAACTATAAGTAAATTATAGTATAAAAGGGTGATGCACATTTTGGCTTCCTAATGTGAAGTTATAATTTTCCGGCCGATCACTGCTGATATTATTAAAGAAAAAGTTAGATTGTATCTCTTACACTTTTCGCATCATTCTTGATCTCATTTAATTGTAAATAAATACCAATTAAGCAGATACATGCGACTTAAAATAGCACTTTGTAATTGCTTCAGTCATAAATATTTCTTATATGTTATAATTTCCATTGATTTGCTGTAATTAAAAATTAGTCACTTTTTTCAATATTTTTCATTTATAGCTCATTTTGTTACATTTGTTCGATTATTTTCAATCTAATATTAAATTTGCTGAGTTCAATGAATTTGCGGAAGCGTAACAAACTTGAGTACACTTAATTATATAGGAAGTGCACTTAGGTCGTTAAGGAGTAACGTTTTATTCGAGACGAAAGGAAATGCATGCGCGCCTTTCCATTCATTTAGATTACTCTCTGAACCATTTCCTTTATATGTTTGTATGATATATACATTTTTTTTTTACCAAAATTGGATATCGACCAGATTTAAATGACATTCACACAGCTAATTTAAACCAATTCAAAAAGCATTGAGATTAGCAATCATTATAATATTTTATAATATCAAATATATAATATGTATAAATTATATGTTTCATAAAATTATGCAAATCTTTTTTATAAATTTTATCTTTTTTTCTTAAAAAGAATCATTATAATATTAATAATGATATATGCAAAAAAGAAAAAAATCTTTTAAAAATTTAAAAAAACAATTTTCTTCTAATAATCTTAATAAAATCTTATACCCAACAACGCCCAAGTCAGTTTGTCTTGCTAGGTATTTCGAAACTCTTCTGTTGTCCTCCGTTCCAAAAGGACCAATGATCATGATCGCCTATATACATAACCTCGAACGCGCGTAACATACGAACAATCCCATAGACTCTTTCGAGACGTTTCTAATTCCACTACGCTTTCAAAACAGGCCCAAAAATATCTCTACTGGCGCCCTCTACTGAAATGAGAAAATAAAATATCTTCGATTACATTTAAATTGAAAAATTTTTCCAGAAAAGATATATTTTTTCATATACTCGCCAGTTGAATGCTCATATGTGAACATGTACATTCACACATGTATATTGATGCATACAAATACAACTACGTGGAACACACAGAGGGAATGGGCTGATTCTCTTTCTCTGTTGTGCCTTCGAACGCCTTCCTCTCTTCCTCCACCACCTTCTTTCTACGGCACAGAGAGTTCCTTTAAGCCGGCAGTTTCGTGTGTTACACCGTGGCGTGTGCACATAAGATCACATAAAACTTATGTGCATAGTAGACACAAAAGGCACCCTGAAAGATCGGCGTTCGTTTTCTTTGGCGGAACAAGTTTTCCAGGTGTCATCCAGGTGTAACCAATAATCGAGCTTCGTACACAAACTCTCGTTCACGATAAATAAAAGTAAGAGTCTCGTGGAATCGCTTTAACGAACACATTGAATCGCGCGGAATCGTAGTTTCGAAAGAGGACGTCTTTGTTTCGACGTTGGCGCTTCTTGTGATTGCGACTGTGATGTGACATGTTTCGTGGGTGAACGCTGTGTGACATTTCTGATAGACTGATCAACTGAAACGTAAGTTCAATTTAATTTTTATTTCATATTTTCTTATAAATACTTGAAATGTTTTGATTGTGACATAATTTCTAATAGATATATAAAGGATATGTGCATAAAATATAATAAAATTTATGATTTTTATTAATATCACAACAGTTTTATGAAAAAAAACTATTTGTTGTTTATTTCAAATTTAATTAATAAAAAATAGTTAGTAAAGTTGTTATTTATGTAAACAGCTTCTATTCAAATTTTTGTTAAAAATGTACACAAAATGAGAGATGCATAAAATTTAATGTCATTGACGTCTGGAACATGAGTCATTATGAAAAATGAAATTGTGAATATATCATCTTGCTTTTATTACATGATATATAGATTATTACAGATATATTACAAGATGATATGTAACATAATAGTAAAAATACTTTTTTATTCTAAATTGACTATACATCTTCATATATAATTTATCTTGCAATTCATACTTACAACATTCTTAAAATAATTATATTGCAGAATAAAGTAATTTCGATTGTAAATACAGGCATTTCAAAATAATATACCTTTTATATATTATTATATAAAATATGCTTAATATTATTTCTTTCTAAAAAAAAATCTCATCGAAAATAAATATAAAAAAACGTGTTAAATTTATTTTCAATGTATCTTTAACTTTTGTCAAAAATTTTCAAATAATATTAACAAATAATAATAACTTCTTTATTAACATTTTTAAAGTCAAAATATTTAAATATTGGTATATGTATGTATATTTAGAACTAAATTTGTATAACGAAGTATAATTGACCACGTGCAAGTAGAAGTTCGGTAAAAGGGTCAAGCGAATTTATTAAGGCAATGTTCGAAGAAGCCGCTAAATCATTGTTTGGATCGACATATAGTTAACGGTTTAATAGCTTTGATAAAGATATTATTGATCAGCTAATGATTTTATACTGATAAGAAAAAATAATTAAAAAAATATATTTTAACAATAGGAATGGTTTTTATACTTGGTTTGATTATCAATTCTCGTGACTGACAAAATTACCTTAAAAGCAACGATGTTTTTATCAGTTGCTTATCATTTATCCAAATAATCATCGCAATTATGAAAATGTCATAAATAATATGTTTATCTATTGATCAAATAACTAAAATTATAGAATAGATATGAAACTTAAAGTTGAATA